TTCATTTTTTCAACAAACAAGAACATTTAGAAAATAATGATTGTTTCAGACATATGCACAAATTTAATGGACTTTTGTTGTTTTTTGCAGAAGTTTGTAAAATGTTGTTCAGTTTTACGTAAAAATCTATAGATTTAGATTATTTTGCACAAAAACTTTGTTGTTAAGGTGTTGGAAAAAATATGTCAATTCTGACCAATTATAACAATGGTCACATGAAAATATGCCATTACCATGAGATAAGTGATGACGCGGAATTAGTGATGTTGAGTATACTGTTTTCATTAAAATGACAAAACTCTTATAGGCCAATTAAGATTTGTCATTCGTGCAAGTAAAATGAACAATATTTTTATATGCCCGTTTGAAAAAAGGGACATATTATGTTTTCACCCTTTACGGGCTGGTGGGAAGTCTGGAAAAAACCTGGAATTCTCAAATTGAAAAACCTGGAATTTGAAAAAAATCCTTGAAAAAACCTGGAAAAAGCCTGGAATTTCACTCCTAAATAATAGTGGGAACCCTGATTTAATGATAAACTATTGATGTTTTATTTGATTCAGGTGAAGCTGCTTTAAACAGGATCTTAAATCACAATGACAGGGACCAGTTAAGAAGAGAAAACACTTGCAAAGGCTTTATTCCAAGTACCTATATATGTAGACATTAATTTGGCAAATACTGGCAATAAATTTTTACAAGAAAAAAAACTTTATTAGCATTTGTGAATTTTTCTTCAAATGAAAGGATATGCCTGCAGTGTTATTCATGACTTGGATTTTATTGATGCAGTATCAGTAGTGTAAGACTGTAACATAATGTAATAAAATATAGTAATCCATTTAAGACAAAGTGAAAATTTGTTATATTTGTCCCCATCTTTAGTGATAGTGATTCTAGTTCAGTGATATTTCCGCTCACCTTAGCACAGAGTGCCATTGTGAACTATTGTGATTGTATAATGTCTGCTATTTGTACCTAAATCTTGTAAAAAGATATTTTTCTCCTCAACCATTTCTTATTTTTAAAGATTGAGTAGCAACAAATGCACAAAATTTCTGACCAAAGTGTATTTATCCCAAGGAAAAAGATATTTGCACCAAACATGACAAATATGCCTGCATTTATGTATGGTTTTCATCCCTTAAACAATAAGGGCACCTGTATTTTATTATTGACCTGTAAAATTTTACTCCTGTATTTTTGAGCTGAAAAAATTTTACACCTGTATTTTTAGACCTGTAAAATTTTACACCTGTATTTTTAGACCTGTAAAACAGTACAACTGTATTTTCGACCGGTAGAAAAAAACCGGTTAATTTACATATTTCGTTCATAGTACAGGTGTAAAACAGGTGTATTTTTGAAAAAAACAGGTGTAATTTGCTATGTTTATCAAAACTGAAGAAAAATACAGCTGTAATTTTTAACAGAAAAACAGGTGTATTTTAGGCAAAATTACAGGAGTAAAATTTCGTACAGGCTAAGAAAAATGTACAAAAAGATTTTTGGAAAGGTATAAAGATTCAAAATTCTAGTAATAATTTACATGTTATTTGCAATTAATGACCAATTTTTCAGTATTTATAACTATATTTCTACTGCGTAACTACTGCAGTAAGGTCAAATTTTGCATATTTTTACCTTTTTATAGCAATGTACAGGACATTGGGTTGTAAGTGCCATTGATAATGTGGAAATTGCATTATTTTGGTAACTTTACAATATTATACTGTTAAATACATTTTCAAATTTCATGAAAATTAGCATGAATCTGGAGGCGTTCTGCTTTAAGCATATATTTATTATAAAGTAAAAGTGCTTGAGCAGAGCATGTTATGTTAATATCAAGTTATAAAGGGGAATAACTCGTGAGGGCATAAAATGGATTAAAACAAAATGCACAGTCATGCAAGAACAAACTGCATCATTTAAGCCTCCTTGGTTTCTTTAACTGATACCATTATCTGCTGCTTAAACTTTTATTTTTCAGAAAACGAATTTCTTACATATTACAGAAGTACCAGTTGAAACAAAAGTTATAAAATTTTCTTTTTTAAAGATTTTCTCAAATTTCATCACCAATTTAATATTTTAACTAATTTTTCTTTTTTTGTTTTAAAACATGTGATTTCACAAAAATAAAATCTGCTTAAATTTTTAAAAAACATTACAGTTTTTTTTAAATTTAAAAAGATATTTTTAAAAAATAACCATTTTTCGAATGTTTACTTTTAATTTTATTTTTATTTAAGATATAATTTAAGGCTATATTTAAATGTCTGATGTTTCTGAAGTCATTTTATCCTAGTTTTAAACAAATAATTTTTATAATTTTTATTTGCATTTAAAAAATTTTTAAATTTAAGGGTTTTAAATTAAAGGGGAAATACTGATACACCACAGAAAAGCCCAAAAAATGAACTTTTTACATTGATAGGCTGGGGCACTTAAAACAGGCTAAAGTTTTGCAAAAACTTTCAGATAAAAAATATACCCAGAAATACATTGAAAATCATATTTTTGTGTTATTCTTAGTGAAAAGCATTGCAAATAATTGCTTTTCAATTTTAGGTCATTTTTCACAATTAGAATTATTATTCTGGAAAAACAGACTGAGGGATTGAAATGAAATTTTGTACACCTGTTTTTGGTCTAGACCTACATAAAATGGAACATTAATGTTGAATAATTATATCTTGTCTTATCAGGGCAAAAAATCTCAGTTGAAACCCTTTAAAGGCACATTATGCCCCAGAAAGGAATGATTTTTGCCTTCTTTATCATGTTTAGAAAGAGCAAACATGAGTTTTATAATGTGTCTTTAAGCATGTAAGATACTTATCACATGAAAAAAGTAGCGTTGAAGGTGAAATTATTTGTCATAAATGTAACTAAGCAGTATTTTAAGTGCCATACAAAATCACTGTACTGTACTAAATGCTTAAAAGAAAAGAAACAAACGGCTCAGCTTTATCTCAAATGAAAAACTTTTTGGAAACTGTAACACCAAAATAAAAATGCTTTGAGAAATAAAAACAAAAGAATAATTTCTGGCATGTAATGGGCCTTTAAATAAGACCAAAATGTTTTTAGCTAATAACTCATGTATATTGATTGAGGCACGCAACTTTCAAATAAAACAAATCAAAGTCCCCATTATTTTCCATGGCGGGTAGGGCAGAAAACACATAAGGAATCTAAGTACTTAAAGGTATTAATGGATGGCAAGTTTTTGAATTTTGAAAAATTGCTCATTAATATTTGTTTTACAAACAAATCATGTGATCTAAATAGTTATACAATAAAGCTAAATTTTTTATTCGAGCCCAATCCCTTATGCTAACAATGTAATACATGTACTCATTATACTATAACAAAGAGAAGATGGACAAAACCCCACATGTGAAAACCCCACACCTCAAAGTTTTTGTCCTACATTCTATATTAATTAGGTTCTACATGTATATTATAAATTAATAAGGGGAATTACTTGCTGCATACACTTTATTTTCTTGATAGAAAAAGGATTTGTAAGCATTTGAAACAATTACATGTATAAAGAATATTTTAAATACGCACATATTTGAAGACCGTATGTCACACATATTTTTGAAAATCAAACCCTACTGTTATGTGAATGCATAAATATTGTAGTTATTGCGCCTATTCAGCTAGAGATGATGGCATAGAAAGGCGCTATAATCTTTTAAAAATGAAAGAAATAAATGAAGGAAACAGAATGGTAACAGTCACAAAGACTTCATTTTTCATTTTCATACAAGTCTTAAATGACACACATGATAGCTATGTATTACTGGTCCAATGTAATAACAAAAGGTCCTAATGTTAAGACAAAAACTAGTGTCTGCATCTTGTACAATTTCAATAGTTAAAAATATTTTTGTCAAGTTTTTGAATATATCAAGAACTTAATTAATTTAATGGTATGCCATCTAATTCCAATAAGAATAAATTAGAACTTAAATCAATGAAGATTTTATCATATATTTCAATATAATGAATAAAAATAAGTGAGGCATGTACCATATAATTAAGGTCAATATTAAGTCCAGAGGTATAACATTCGATGACAAATTGTTGAATTGTAAATACTGTGGTGTAGACTTTTAAGTATCTTTTGGAAAAACATTGTAATAGTTAAATATCCTATTTTGATGGAATTATATGTGGACATAGTACCATATTGCATAACAAAAATTAGCCACGTTTAATGTAAATCTTACTGCAATATGGGCATAAGTATACTTACACCCTTATTGCATATAATATTATCTCTCAAATTATATGTAAAAGTTATGCAACAAGGGCATAAGTAATAAAATTGCTAATAAAGTGTTTTTTACATGATTTATATTGATGTTGTTATAAGTTATATTTAAAATGTATATTTTCATATTACAAAACAAAGTAATGTAATGGGAATATAAAGAAACAAGAAAATGGGTTAGTTTTTTTGCTCTACTGTAAAATTTTCAAAAATGTAGTTACGCCCTTATTGCGTTAAGCCATCGATATAGCAATAATTGTTTCCATCCTACTTCTCTTTTTATAATGTGGCTAGGTTTTCTTATAACTAGAAGTGTACATCAAGTGGCCAGCATTTGATTTGTGTATCTAAGTAATTTTGTAATGTTTTTTTTATTTTTCTTTCTAGACAACATCAATCAAAATGTTTCTATCCTTGTCACTCTGGTTCAAATATTGTACCATCATAATAAAGCCACCTTAATTATTGCTTTTCAACAATTTGCACCTGTACAATACGACCACTCAAACTTGTTTAGATTGAGAATCAATCATGTGTGTACTATTTATTCCTGGACTAAACCAGTACTGGTGCTACATAATGAGTATTTCCCCAATAGGACACAACATCCAGGATAATTGTGTACAGCTACATCATTTACATACCCCAAGTTTACCTTTCAACGAAATTGATTTACGTACATTTGTATATATTATAACTAAAACATCAATGTTGTTTCATAATTTTATTTTTATTAAATATATGAACTATGATATAATCTACATGTATAGAACATTAATTTATAAAAAGTAAGATTTCTGTAAACATATCATACTTGTAATCAGTACTGACAGTATTATTATTATAATATATATAACAAAACATACTTTTTCATATTTATCGCCCTTTACTTAATAATATGTAAAACAGTAAATCAGTAATATTGTAATTCTAACATTTTTTAAAACTTGTAAAAAGGTCAAATCTGTTGTAAATATCAGATTGATGAAAATAAGAAATAAAATGATAGCATTTCTGATGTATAATTGGTCTTTAACCAACATTTCATCAATTAAAATAAAATCATTATAAATTTTCATCATTACATGTCAATATAAATCTTTAAATAGTTTTACAAAAGCCTCTCTTCTTTTGCAAATAAGTTGCAATGACTTTGAAAGCCGTTTTGTGAGAAGGATAATATGATATTTCATGTTCAACTTGATATGGACTTTAAGGCCTATTATGCCTCAGAAATCTTTTTTTCTTTAACTTTATGTTTAGTATCTTGTTACAGTTTTCAAAAAAAAAAACTCATTCGTCATAAAATTAAACCATCTTTGATCGAGCTGCTTTGTTGGAAATTGGTTTAATTGTAGTGAATTATGATTTTGTATGAAAGGAAAACTACTACTTTTGTTTACATTTTGTTAACTTTAAGACATATAACTGCACATTCAGTGCTACTTTCACTAGCTGTTAAACATCTAACATGTTCTAAATCCATTATAAAGACATTATTAAACACATTTTTGACATTTTTAATGAGTTGAATAAAAACAGATTTCCAAGGCATAATGTGCCTTTAAAGGTATGCTCTACATGAAAATTTAGTATAAACTGTTAAAAAGGTGAATAATACAAAATTTACACATTGCATATACATTGTACATCAATCAGATATTTAGAACTACCAAAAACGTCATGTAGATACATTTAATTGTGTAAGAGTACAGTCCCGGCAATAAATGAAAAATGGACATTTATAAAGCCTTATGGGCAATAACTCTAAAAATGTGCACAAGACAGCAATTTACCTCAAAGGTTCGAAACGAAAAAATAAGCATTGCATTTTTTAAAGGGCTTTTATGTCTAAAATGTGTTATAAGAGGGTATGATTTTTATAGTTCACTGCAGTTTTCTTAATGAGATTTATCTATCTATGAATTTTCAAGTTCTTCACTTCAACACTTTAAAAAATTAACCTTGGAGGGACAAAACTTAATATGAAAAGGCATGAGAGAAAACTAAGGTGATTGTTGAATAATTACCTTCTTAAACCTTTCTTGTATGAGAGTAAAATTAATGATTGTTTTATAGAAAACGAGCCCTATACATAAAATACAAAAATACTTATCTTTGTAAATTATACAAAATTCCACTAAGTAAACTATATACATGTATACACAAATCATAAAAGTAACAAGACGGTCATGGCGTCCCATATGAACCAAGTATAAGTAATTATTACAATCTTTACAACTTTGTTGTATTAGAGTATTATTACTGATATGATTGTGGTTTTAGAGAACAGGCGCTATATTGAAATATGTACACATAATACAAAAAAACTTATCCAAAATCATACTAAGGAAACTATATACATATACACACAAAAAAAACATCTCTTAAAGTAAGAGGCCATGATGACCCTAATTCGCCATATTTCACGTCATAGTAGCATGACAATATCCCATCCTTCTGGATGTATCCTTATTGTGTTACCTGAATGTATGTAATTTTCTTTATTACATATACATAGGTAAGTAATATACATGTCATTTTCTGATCACTGAATATAAATTATGTACATGCATATAAACAAAGTAGTTTGACAATGAGATACACAGTACCTCAAACACACAAAAAAAGTATTTAGAACTTATAGATAATATAAACATCTGTATATACTTGAGCGGAAAATAAAACAACATCAAATCTGACTAAAACATGGATTAGCAATACATTAATATATTATGTACAAATTTACAGATCAACCTATTATGGACACATCTGAACAGACTTATAAAGTTTTTTTATTTTCTTGCATGCAAGGGACATAAGTATACTATGGAGAAATGTTACAGATATACAGTCAATTGTAAATGATAAAAACTCTAACAATACTGGCAGTGTTGATTTTTAATATTACCTTTACATCACTTAAGCACACATCTGCTGAAAGTTTAAGATACTTTTTTCAGCTCTCTTTATTAAACCAAGGAGGCATTTGTTTAATTTTGTAAATTCCTTAAAGACTTCTGAAAGTTAATACGGTCATTTATAAAAACTGTTAGCTATATAACCCGAAAGCATCGGTTATATATTAAATTACAGCCATTTTATCTTGGTCATATAACTTGTTGAGTCATCATAACCAATGATATATTTTTATCTTAAAATAGAATGGTCTGGAAACGCGCTATGTAAATCCTTCTCGCCACAATATAACAATAACATGTATTGGTATACCTCAGTATAGTCTTCTATACGCAAATTATGTAAGTGTTCAAGAAAAGGATATTTGCCAACAAACGGCCCAATTTTTGAAAATGATCAAATATTTGTGAATAACGTCATGAAATATTATAAAATCATCTTTACATAATACGATTAAATAACATTTTTTCTTCGTAAAATCAATTTCTATTTTTCCATTGAACAATGCATAATTAAATTTTTTTATGAAACTTGGACCTATTTTCAAATATAAGCAGTAGATTGATACCTTGACACTGGAAATGGAAAAATCAAATCTAGAATTTTTACTTTTTAAAGTAAAAACTGATACTGTAATGTAGCCAAAATTAGTTTTCAGTAACCTTTTATCAATTTATCTCATAATTTTGAATATTGATGCACTATCCAGATCATGGTTTGTAGATTTCCTAATTTTATTTCAAATATAATAAATTGTTACTTTTCAAAGAAAAAAAAACTGATAATGTAATATAGCCAAGATTAGTTTTTTTTCAGTAATTTTTTATCGATTTATCTAATTGTTTTAATTTTGAAGGGTGATATACTATGCCAGATCACAGCTGGTAGATAACCTAATCATGTGACACAACTGAGACATCTTTTAGTAAAATTCGTCTGACTCCAGACCATTCTATTTGAAAGACCCTGTCATAAAGGGACTCCACCAAGCTTTTTAGACATGATGAGACTGAAAATATTTTTTCCAGAAAAATGTACCATTTGATTTAGGTAAAAAAAAAACACTAATCTATGTGCAAAATTTCAGATCATTCGCGCACTTCGTCTTTCCAGAATGATTATTCAAATTGTAAAAAAATGACCTAAAATGAAAAGCGTTTAAACGCTTTTCACTGAAATCGGGCCAAGAAAAGCATAAACATACGATTTTTAATTTATTTCAATGTATATTTCTTAACTATCTTTGCATTTATTTCTGTTTAAAGTGCTCCAGTTCATTCATGTAAGAAATTGAAATGTTATGTTTTTAGAATTTTTAACCTCAGTGGAGTCCCTTTAATTAAGATTTAACCAATAGTAAAATGCAACATATACTCTATTGCTCTTTTTACTTTAGTTATATTGTAACTTTCATATTTCCTTTCCCTTTTTGTAACTAAAAAGTAGTAAATCAACAAACTTAAACTCATCAAAATTGCTATGGTTCAAACAATATAGTGATTTTTTTTCCAAAAGCTAGTCATTATTTAGTGATATGTTTAACTATTTCACTCTAAAATAGCGGAACATAATTTAATCTTATTAAAATAAAAACAATTTTAATCATACTTTCTTTAAAGTGAATTGGTCTATAATGAGAGATCTAAATACCATAAATAATTATTTTATAGTTAGTATTTAGAATCATATGTAAAAGCAAACCACAAAATAATTGTATATGGGTGTTGTTGGCAAGTGATAGATACATGATCCGATACAACATATTAATATATAGTATACGTGTATAATAAAGTGTTTTAGAACAATTATATATTACGTCCATACTAAATCATTTTAGAACTCTATCAACATTTCCAAAACATATCCAAAATGCACATTTCTTATTGTCTAATTGTGGTCTTGTTATCACTACTTATGGAAAATGTGCACATTGTAGACCAATCCACTTAAATTTACAAGCGTTTTTTACAAGTTTCATTTGTGTTTTCTAAAGGTATGTGAGTAGTTCACAAACAAAGTTTTCAGAAGGATATTTTTAAATATTTCACAGCAGCCTTGGTAAGAACTTTCTTTACAGAAGTAAATTCTTCTTGAAGAAAACAAGTTTAAGTGCAAACAAGGTATTGGTGATGCACTGTTTTTTAAACAATATTCTTTTGGATATGTTTCTGTAAAGCCAGGAACCAGGTGTTAAGTATTCATATTGGACTCTAGTAGAAGGATAATCATCATTGTCACTGTAGATTTACTCGAGCTGATTATCTGAAAAAAGTATAAAGAATAAATGAAAAATTCGAAATATAAAAAAGTGTAACAGTGTAGATTACAGGATTTATTAAGTATAATAATATATATTTATGTGTTTTATGATTCATACACATTTAAGGTAAACCTAAGTTAATGCAAATCATAAAATTCCATACGCGTAAGTAACTAATCTATATTTTATTTAATTTTATGTAAACTCTATTTATTAATATTATAGTGGCATGTGTGAACATTTTTTTTTGTTAATCAAATTATATAACATATTTATCACACACCCGTGCCGATTTTGCGACTCCGTAAATATTGTATTGCACGGTCGTGCATAAATTTTGATGTGACGTCATTAGCGTTATACAAACATAGTGTAAAGACGCGCTAAAAATTAGCGTTATACTATAGGCGTTTAATGAAGGATAACTCTTATTTCACTTTAAACGGTCTTTATCTTGGGTATGTGATAAATAGAATATTAAATTCGAGTAAGTTCATTACTGAATTTATTGCACTCGTTGAATTAAATAATATTATGCCTGCAAGAGGCTCGCATAATATAATTTTATTCAACTCGTGCAATAAATTCAGTATTGAACTTACACTCATTCAATATCCTCTATATAATACATCTCGCCCAATCGCCTATAAGTCTCCTTCATTTGTAAAAATAGTTGCCATTAAGTGATAGAAATATGGATAGAATATATTGAAATTGCCCTTTATATGGATCATTATATCTCCACGACCTGACATATGAGTAGAACCACAGACCTTCTGTAAGCAAATTGAATTGAATAATACATATCCTGCCGGCCAGCTGAAATGAATTATTTAAGCATATTAGCTGGAATACAAGTAGAACTACGGACCATCTGTAAGCAAACTGAATTGAATTATTTAGGCACGAGCTGATATCAGAGTAGAGTAAGCCAACTTAATCATGATGGAATAATATAGGCATGATCTGACAATTTCAGAGGGGAACTTCTGGCATTCCGTGAAGGAACTGAATTGAAAATAACACCTTCCCCAAGCCAGCTGAATTGATTTTTTAAGCATAAGCTGGTATCCGAGTAGAACCAAAAACTTCTGTAAGCCAACTGAATTTTATCATCTAGGCAAGAGCTGACATCTATGTAGAACCACTGCCTTTTCCAGTCATATAAATTTAACTATTTGACATAAGCTGATATCTGTTTAAGAGGCACAAGCTGATATCCGAGTACAGGCGGCCAACTGAGTAAAAATATAGGCATGCGATGACATCACAGTATAAACCTCGGGCCTGCTGTAAGCCATTTGTGCATAATAGCTGACATCTGAGTAGAACCACGGCCTGTTGTCAGCTAAGTGAATTTAACTATTTGGCCTACGGTAAGCTAATATCCAAGTAGAACCACAGACCATTCATAAGATAACTAGTACCAAACTATGCTTAAGATGTATTAAACTCAGATGGTAATGAAACCCGGTTTACAAAACTCGGCGTAAAATGAAATATTTTTTCAATAATTTCCCTAAAAATCGTTCATTTATAAATTGAATTGGTTGAATAAAGCAATTGTCTTTTGCATGGAAGCTGTCTTCGATATTTTATTTTTCTATCTTTATTGGATTTAAATGATCTGTCAGTCATAAATATAATTAAAGGCTTACCTTGTCAACAAAGGAACATGGTGTTTTTTGATGCTCGAAATAATCTATAACTACACAAATCCTTATTCTGCATTACAAAGATTTTGATCTAAGGCCGCTGAAACGAGAAATAAGACACAATATTAACGCATACATGTATTTTATTAATGGGGAAATTTTGCAGAACAATGTTTTATTCTAATGTAGTCCACACGTGCTCATCCAGTCTTGGTACCAATAAAAAAAAAAACACACATCAAAAAAACTATTTTGGGTTGAGTGTAAGAAAAAAAAAATGATTTTTTTTCTTATATACCATTACTACGTAGTTGGAGGAACACGAAATAATGTTTCATGCAAAACATCTAAGTTTTAGGCCCTTGTGAATTCAAATGATTTTTAAAGTTTTATGTGTTTATCAAAAATCAATGACCTTTTAATCCAAAAGCTATAATTTAACAAACATTATTCATTTCCACTAGAGTATGTGTCTTGACAAATATCTAAGATTAAACCTTCATTGTATAAGGGAAGAATATCTAAAATGTTACCCATATACATTTAAGGAAAATCTAAGACCCCCCCCCCCCCGTTGGGCAAACATTGACCCAAGGACTTTAATTTAAACAATCTTGGTACAGGTAAACTAGACAATATTTAATGCAAAATACATTAGCTTTAGTAATGATTGATTTAGAAAAGATGACTTTAATTATAAGAAAAAAATTATGCCCCCCCCCCACCACCAGACTGAGTCAGTTTAGACCCTAGGGCTACTATATGGTTTAAAGGAAACTGGTTGACAGGTCAGCATTTAATGTAATTAAACGAGACACTTTTAAAATTAATTAATGATAAGAGTCTGGCAATTAAAGTGTTACAAAAAATAAAAATCTAACGAGAATATTTCCGAAAATAAGAAAAGAAAAACAATCTTAATTTTTAAATTAATAAAATGTATAGGAGATAATAGAGGGTTATCACCTTTGTATACAATTACATGGACTATGTTTAAAAAATACTTTATTTTGATTAAAAAAATCTATTTCGGGAATAAAAAATTCATGGTAAATATTAATTAAAAAGTTAATTTATTTATATCAAATATATTTTCAAGTAAAAGTTAATAAGAGTATTGTTCACTGTTAATAATCTATTTCAGTTCTTACATATGCATGTATATATAAAAAAAAACAACATAAAAACATTCAATATAAAATCACTCACCTGTTAAATATTTTCATATCCTAATCCATCTTTTATATCCATTGAATTCCGTAAAAACTTCCTTGAATTATTTCTATTATTAAATGTTTTTATTTATAAACAATTGTCACTTAAATTATTAATTGAAAACGGAAGTACATGAATGTCCTAATTAAAGTTTGATGAGTCGCCATTTTGTTTCTAAGTGTCCATATTTAAATTGTTTTTATTAATTAAAATCATTGAAGTTATTTCATTAGTTTATTGTACAACGTTTTTTCTTTGTCTTTTCTTTACTTGGTTTTATTGTTTTGAACTCTGCACTTGGTTTTATTGTTTTGAACTCAAACCTCAAACCGTCGTCCTCGTGTATCACATGAAAAGTTTGTGAACTCCGAATATTTTCTCTAACACGGTCATATTCTGTTTCCGGTGTAATGGCGAACATCTCTACTGTAACTGACTGCGGCAGATTTTTCAGCACGGTAATAAAGTTCTGTAAACTTTCTGCAGACATTTCTATACGGTACAACATCACACGTTCAATATTCAACATGTCACGTGACAGTAACAATGAACTTTTATCTAGATTGATGTACCACAACGTAACATTAACTAATGACGGTGTTGATATATTTAATTGTAGCCTCCAAGGTAACGTGTCCAAGTGTAACTTTGATAGAGTTGAATGTTGAGACAAGTCCAAGTTCCATCTCTTACAATCACGGCGGCGGTCGTAATGTTCTTTACAGTATAACCACGACAATGTTAACTCTTTCATTGATTTTTGACCGGAGATAAAATTGAAAAATGGTTCCAGTATTTTGTGAGATAAGATGAAGTATTCAATATATAAATATTGTAAGTTTTGTACTCGCGCTAAATTTTTACTCAGTTTTCCATCATCATTTATCCATGTACCCCGCCACAAAGTAACGCACTGTAAACTGGGAAACAAAATCCGGCTTATCTCAGCCTCCATCCAGTCACCATGATAGAAAAGTTTCTGTATATGACTGAGATCTGTGAGAGAGAATAAATCTATAATTTCACGTAAACTGCTGGAAGTACCGTATATATAAAGTGATTTTATGTTGGTTTTATTTTGTTTTAATAAACGTTGTATCTGCTTACTGTCCACTAAACGTTGTATCTGCTTACTGTCCACGGTGTTCTTGTCAATGAAGAAATCTTGTAAACATAATTGAATATTTTCACTTTCAGGCATTTCTTGTAAACACGACATGAACATTTTCTGTATGTTATACAATGGAGTATCGTACACGGAGATCTCGCGACCTGTCCTAGTTCTATAGTCGCGTGTTATCTCGTCTTCATTTATCACAGACATCCAATCATTTGATATTTCACACATCCGGTCAGCATTCATTCCACTTATAAATTCACAAATTTTTGACATGTCCAAAATGTCTTGAACATTTCTACATTTTTCTACAACAGTTTTCTGAGCGTCACTTTGAGAACTTATAAATATGGCGACAAAGAATTCTTGCACTGTTTTGTGAGAAAATGATACTTTAATAATTTCTTTAATTAAAGTTTTACTTCTACTATCTGACAGTATTCCCGAGAAAAGACTTAATTTCATGTCGTCTGCTTTGAGATATATATCAGCAACCATTCTATCAAATACCAGCGTATTTTCTCTGTTTTTGTTAAATAATGTTTGGTAAGCTAGTTCCGCTAATGATGTTATAAGACTGTAAAATTTTTTACAAAAATCATGACTTTTGAAGTATTCTGGAATTTCACTGGCAGACGATTCACGAGATGGTTGAACTTCCGGGTGTTTTTTTGACGTTCTCGATAATAGAAATTCAATGATATTGGTGTAAATTTCATGTTTTGAATTTCCTATAGGAATGTTGTTGCACCATAGGCAAACTATATACATGAGGAGGAGTGGAATCACTTGCATGTGCTCTAGGTGACGGTCACGTATCACTTTATTAAAGTGCCATATTTTACTCTCCAGTACTCTATCGTCACGGACACCGGTCATTATTCTTATAGCATTTTCTTCAAGTTGCCTCGTAGAATCTGCACTTAATTGAACCAATTCTACGTTTTTGTTTATTTGACTTGTTTTGAGATTTGCGAATCCAAGCTTCCACAGTCGAGTTGTCGTTAGGATAACACAATTATCACGTACGTATCGATGTGGGATTTTTTCTGTTACTTCGCTACAGCTATTATCAGGGTGAGTCCATTCATCAAGACCGTCCAATATAATCAAGCATTTTTCTCTACGTAAAACTTCATCTAGTATTGCAGAAGAAGGAAGTTTCCTCGTAATTTGCTGTTCAATCATATCGTCAATGTTACAGACAGAAGTACAGTCTCTTAATAAAACCAAAAATAAGAAATCAAAGTCTAATAACGTTTTTAACTCGTCGTCTTTAAAGCAGGCGTAGTTTTCATCGTGACAATGAGCTTGACACCACGTGACTGCAAGATATTTTGAGAATGCAGTTTTTCCAAAGCCTGCATCAGCTGATAGATAAATTTCTTGCTGATCTCTACTTCCGGTTGAAAACAGGTCTTTCAAAGACTTGATCGGTGTTCTCTCCTCTTCATGACAAGTTAGTGACTTCTTTTTCACGGCGACTATATCTGACATCACGTAGAACCCAGCTAAAGGTGTCTCTATTTCTTCAAGAAGCGGTGACAAAGGTATTGAACTACACCTTTTTCTGTAGAATTTAATCAGGTCGCCTTGAAGTTCTTAAAAGAGAGTAGAAAAAAGTGTTAATCAGTGACAAATCTTCTACAAAATATATGAAATGTTTAGGTGTTTACTAATATCAATTTTGCATGGTGAGAATCAGGAAATGCATACGGCAAATAAGAAATGGTTATGTAACACTATATTCAGATGCTATGTTTAACTTTAACAATGCATAATAATAGTGACATTATGCCCATCTAAAGGTATATAGTGAGTGAACAGGTAAGAGTCAAAATAAATTTTCATTTCGCCATAATTCTTTTGTTTTAATAATTTACTTGCATAAACAATAAATATCCACCGGATTCAAACGAACTTTCAGTAAATATCATTTATTATTTACCTGTAACGTTCAATTTATAAAGAGAGTGGGGCAGTCTTTCTATATTTCAGGCAGATATTAAATTTTATCCTAAACATTTTCCAATATAATCTATTGGTCAAACATCATTTAGATCTATACAGTCAATCCTTTGAAATATAAAGTCAATTCAGCGCAACTTGACAATGAAAATATGAGCATAATGTCACTTTAACCCTGTTTTAATAATTGCATAAGTTCATATACAAAAGGATTTTTTTCCATCGCAATATTTAATACATCGTATGCTTGAAAATAAACATTTGAGCCGCGTCACGACAAAACCAACATAATGCGTTTGCGACCAGCATGGATCCAGACCAGCCTGCGCATCCGCGCAGTCTGATCAGGATCCATGCTGTTCGCTTACCAACTCTTTTACAAGTAGCAGCATGGATCCTGTTCAGACTGCGCGGACGCGCAGGCTGGTCTGGATCTATGCTGGTCGCAAACCCATTATGTTGGTTTTGTCGTGACGCGGCTCATTTTACTTCTTCATTAATGCAATCAAAACATACGAAATGTGTTTGATAATGTACATGTATAACTTCAAAATGGCATTTGGTATCCGTATTATGCACATAACAACTGTATATCTTCGACACCATAGTTTGGGAATCATGGACAAATGTTTCAAATTCCTGGGAAGGGTGGGGACAGGAAGGTGGGGGAAGTTACAGTTTTGGGACTTTAAAGTTAATGTCTCAGCAGTCTGATCTATTTATTTTTTTTTGGAATGTTGTTAATCTAATAGTCAAACCTAATATACAGTTGACATACTGACTTGTTTGGAAAAAAAACAACAACACCCAAAAACTGATTTAAATATTTTATATGCAGGCCAAATAAGATTGTATAAGTCAATCACATATTTGATCATTTAATTTTTG